TTTGTGAATTATGCTTCCAATGCTTCGGATAGCGCTGCGATTGAGGATCAGGGCGCGCGTCTAGGTGTCCTTCACCTGCCATCAAAGAAAAAATGTAAAATAACAAGGGTATATCCTCACATAGGTTTCTCCTCTCTTGAATCGCGCTCTCTTGATAAATGTACATCTATATTAATGGGGATAAACTGGACTCTATTGAATTGAGAGGTAGTCGGGAAGGTAACACGAGAGATCAAGCTCACGTCTCACAATCCTCTAAACAAGCTGACAATACAAGCTAAGGCAAGAATAGTTCTAGTACTATTCGAGAGGCCAGGACTTATTTCAAATCACTCGAAACAACTCAATTTGGGGATATGAAGTTGTAACCGAATCACTCAAGATTACACTTTAAAAAAACCACAAGAATCGCTCTTGAAATAAAAACCAGTTTATAAAATGTTTATGTTGAATGAATAATCCTTACAATGATGATCATGAGACCTTTTATAAAGGAATCATGGAAAATTAAAACAAGAAAGTACACTCTTAAAGGAAATAAAATCATATAGGGAATATTTATTATAATCAGCCTTATTTAGTATTATTGACCCATAATTCATGGCAATCCCATGATTATTGGTAATTTCTTGATCTATGAAATTCCTTCATTTAGGGGATATTGATTCACGGGATCCTTTCAATTAGGGATAGTAATTTAGGGGAGGTCCAATGACTTGTAAGGTGCTCCTGACCTTATGGTCCTTGGGACTTGTGATCCAATTCCAGAAGAATGTATCGTTTATTTTGATCCTCGGTGTAAAGTTCAGTAGTGGCATCCATTTGAAATTTGGCACACTTTGTAATTGTCAATTGAAATTTATGGGCTCGGCTCCTAGTGATTGGTCTAGGAGGAATTATGATTGGGTCCGATTCCGTCATAATGGTCACATCACCTCCGGATGGCAGGAGGAAATTACAGCAACTGAGGAAACACCTTAGATGAAAAAATGACCTCCCCGAAGGAGGAGGCAGCGAGAATGGAGGCCGAAACAAACTGCCCCCAAGGACTCTGCGCCATCAGAACAACAACTTCATCCAAAGGAGCTGGTGATGTCTGTCCTAGAGGACGAACCGATTATCGAGGCCTTGGAGGACGACAAGACATCGATTTGCAAGTTTGGATATCATCACGAACGACCAAGATCTGGAACAGGCACTGTGTTATGAGAATCATTTTTGGGTGAACACTGTTGGTTTTTTGCCAAGAGACTTCGTGGCTCCAGAAGTTCAGCCTTTTTTGTTGATGGAGGAAACTGACCTTTTGTCATGGGCCAGCCTAGAACAAGAGGTGCCAAAGGAACAATCAGAGCTGGTCGTCTTTCAGAAATTCGCCAAAGAACAAACACGGCACGTTAAACATTGTTCCTGACCCTGTATCTCAATAGTCGCACGATCAACATGGTTTTTGTAACACTCTCAGTTGGCTCATACTGGAAATGCTACCGCCACAATGCATCTTGAGGTCGTCACCTCCTACTTCGGGCCCCACAATACCGTGTTGAGGCTAAAATTAACCATAAAAGCGCATTATTATATAACAAAATCTGATTTATGAATATTTACAAAACACACCTAAACAAGAGGTTTTTCCGGTTAAAAATTTACATATAATACAATAGATGTAAGTCTACTCACTCAGCCCGTCTTTCTATATCCTGAGACGTCCCCTGCCCCGGAGATGCCATGCATACCTGAACCAAATATTTTTCTTAAAAGTAGTCTAGAATTAAATCCATTTTAAGAACTAACGTGAAATATGTCATGCCATACCTTATAAAATAAAGTCCAATTTCCATCAATCATTAAATACATGTCATGTCATGCCAATAAAGAAATAATGCAACAAAGATATCAAACCTGACAACAATGCACATGCACACATATATATATACATCCGCCGAAGTGAGCAGCCAGAATAACCTCGGCTCCATAATAATAGGTTCACTGCATCTGTCTAAGTGAGCAGCCGGAATAACCTTAGACTCGTAATAACAAGCTCACTAGACCATCATCAATAAATAGCCGGAAAATCCTCGGCTCAAGGAAGGACCTGATAAACCCATAACAATATAACGGTAATCTGGTCACTTCCATATACCCACCATACGACTCTCAAAATCAATACATGGATAGCCGAACGTTGTCGCCATTAACCACAAGACGCCCCATAGTCTGTGATAGCGAAGATAGGACGCCCACTAACTAACCCTATCATGTGTAATGTAGTAGAATCCGTGCAACCTGGAATCACCCAAGGGCAACCCAGAAATTCTACTCCTACTCGCGCTCCCTAACGGGATCACGCTTGGAGTTTGGCATATAATCCTAAACTACAGGTAGACCTCACCAGTGATCAGTCCAATGAGTGGAACAACACCGAACACGAATGATTAGACCAAATATGTCTCAACTACCATGGGTCTAATCCCTGAATGACCGTGCGACTAAGTCACCCAGTTGTCCGACTACTATCGTCCACTATCGCCAAAGTGTTACGGTACATCGGGGTCGAATATCCTAACCCCAGATGATGCCCTTGCCTAGCACTACCGCACATAGCGACTAAAAAATAGATCCATAAAACATATCCGATAAACCATGCAATATGTGTGCAACGTGTCAAATAAGTGAATATGCCGAAAAGGGCTGGTGAGACAGCACACCTATCCTCATTTTCATAAATTCACCAACGCGATCAAATACGTATATCAAATATCATAAAATGCGAAGTCTCACACATGCATACACACACATATATATAGATATACATGCACTGACAAAATGATTCACATAATATCACATTAGCATAGTAATCAGAATTGCATGCAACATGCATACCTAATTTCTTAAAATTATATTTAATTCCTTACTGCTTACCTCTTATCGAAATTCTCTAGCTTTTGTAATCTCACCCAAATCTCCTTCAACATATACCTGCCCCATTATTTACTCAAATCAGATGAGCTATATGCTTAATCATATGAGCTACCTACTTATTCAAAAGCTAATTTCTATAATTAGCTGGTTGGGTTTCAAATTTTTATATTTAGTAGAATACGATATTCTAGCTATAAATCTCTTATGCCTCATAATATTTATATCTTTCGAGTATTAAATAAAAATACTTAAAGATATTAATAAATAGGCAGGTGCAGTACACTGCCGTTTTCAATTCGGCTCGGATCGATACGAAATTCGCAAAATATAATGCTAGGGCTACGAATAGGCTATTAGCAAAAGAAATTAGTCGATTAAATAGCCAAATAGCCAGTTATGAATTTTTAAAGAATTTCTAATTTAATATCTTCAATATCTAAATTTATATTAAAATTCATAATTAAATTCTACGTATAACAAGGAATACAATACCGAAGTCAGAATCAAAATCAGCTAAATCTTTGTCTTTATTTTTTTTCTTCTCCTTTCTTTTCTTTCCTCCCTAATGTTGCTTCTGGGTTTCCTTCGCAGATGGGCTTGTTTGTTTTCTTATATATATATAATTATATTATTATTATTATTATTATATTATATTATATTATTACTATTAAGGTTATTATTATTATTATTATTATTATTATTATTATTATTATAAACATTATTTTCATCATCATCACCTTTAACATTATTATTATATTATTATATATATATATTATATTTTATATTTATCTTTATCAATATTTATCAGTTTAACAGTCTCTATAATTATAACCAATATACAAAATATAAATAAAATTTATTTAAGAATATTAATTTATTGATCCCAAAATATTATAAAAATATTTATTTGCTATAATAATATTATTTTATACACTCCGAAATCAAAGCATTACAATTCACTCCCCCTTAAAAAGATTTCGTCCCCGAAATCTAAACTCAAACGCATAACAACACTACTTAATTAAACAAATGTGGGTATGCTTTGAACATCTCTTATTCTATTTCCCACGTGGCCTCTTACGCTCCATGCCGGGACCATATTACTTGCACCATACGAATCTCTCGGTTCCTCGTAGTTCGAACCTTTGTGTCCATGATCCAAATGGGCATTTCCTCATATGAAAGATCCTCATTTAGCTCTTACTCATCTAGAGATAAAATATGAGAAGGATCTGCGATATACCTACGAAGTTGTGATACATGGAACACATTATGAATGCGTTCCATAGAATTTGGAAATGCTAACCGATAAGCCCAATCCCCAAGTCGATCGATGATTTCATAGGGTCCAACATAACGCGCAGACTCAATTTTTCTTTAATTCCAAACCTTCTAATACCTTTCATTGGAGATACTTTCACCAGGACGAAATCTCCACTTTGAAATTGACCTTCACGTCGGGCTTTATCGGCATAACTTTTTTGGCGATCTTGAGCTGTCTTCATCTTCTATCTGATAACTCAAATCTTATTTTTTTTATTCTTCGATGATTTCTGGATTTAATATCAGTCGATCACTCATATCATCCCAACTTAAAGGATTCCTACATTTTCGGCCATAAAGAGCTTCAAAATGAGTCATTCCAATACTTGTATGATAACTATTATTATATGAGAATTCCACTAAATCCAAATGGTCCTTCCAACTTCCTTGAAATTCTATTGCAGAAGCTTTTAGCATATCTTCCAGAATACGGATAGTCCTCTCTAATTGACCATCAGTCATTGAATGGAATGCAACACTCATATGCAACTGAGTACCAAAGGCTTCATGCAATTTTTACCAAAATCGAGATTGAAAACGTGGATCACGATCCGATATGATTACCTCAGGAATACCGTGGTCGTTTAACCACATGATGAACATATAATTTGGCCAACTTTTTGCATACTCCAAGTCATACGTACTGTGATGAACACTGCTGACTTGGTCAATCTATCTATAATCACCAAAATTGCATATGTTCCCGACTTCGCCCTTGGAAGTCCTGTCATAAAATCCATTGCAATAGAATCTCATTTCTAGAGCGGAACTTCTAAAGGTTGTAGCAACCCCATTAGTCTATGATGTTCTGCTTTCACCTTTTGGCAGTTTAAACATTGTGCAACAAATTTGGCTACATTCTTCTTCATGCCCTTCCACAAAAAATGCTGACGTAAGTCTTGATACATTTGAATCCCTCCTAGATACACTGAAAATGGTGTATTATGAGCCTCACTCATAATTTGCTCCTTGAAATCGCTTCGATCCTTTGGGATACACCACCTCCCATGGAATCGAAGACTAATATCTAAAGTAATATTAAAGTTTTGAGTCTGACTGCACAGAACTTTTATAGCCAGCTCGACCATCTTATTATCTTCCATTTGAGCCGCTCTAATGTGATCATAAATTTCAGGCTCAACTTGCATCATTTGAAAATATCCCCGCGTCATGCCCCGTTCAAATACTTCAATTTCTATCCGTGCTAAATCTTGACACAGTTCATCGGCAACTAACATAGAACCCAACTTATGCCTTGGTTTTCGACTCAAGGCATCAGTTACAACATTTGCTTTGCCTTCATGATATACAATTTCAAGATCATAATCATTCACCAATTCTAACCATCTTCTTTGTCTTAAATTTAATTCTTTTTGGGAAAAGATATATTTCAAACTCTGATGGTCAGTAAACATTCTACAGTGGGCACCATAAAGCCTCGAAATCTTCAAAGAAAACACCACTGCTGCCATCTCCAAATCATGTGTAGGATAATTCTTTTCGTGAGGTTTAGTTGTCGTGACGCATAAGCAATAACTCTTTGAGTCTGCATTAAGACGCATCCCAATCCCTTTTTCGAAGCATCATTATAAACTTCAAAATCCTCACCCTCTACTGGTAAAGCCAAGATTGGTGTTGAAGTTAATCAATGTTTCAATTCTACAAAGAAGAACTCACACTCACGATCCCAATTAATCCTTGCGCGCTTCTTCAGCAAATTAGTTAATGGCTTCATAACCTTCGAGAAATGAAGAATGAATCTTCGGTAATACCCTGCTAAACCCAAAAAGCTTCTTACTTCTAATTGATTGGTAAGTCTTGGCCAATCTGAGATTGACGCAACTTTAGAAGGATCTCCTAAGATACCCTTTCTAGAAACTACATGCCCCAAGAAAGCAACATTTTCAACCAAAACTCACATTTGGATAACTTGGCATATAACTTCCTCGCACGCAGTGTATTTAGTGTCACACGCAAATATTTTGCATGTGTCTTTTTATTTGGAGAATATACCAAGATATCTTAGATAAATACCACCACAAACTGATCGAGGTATGGTTGAAAAATTTGATTCATCAATTCCATAAATGCAGCCGGGGCGTTAGTCAACCCAAAGGACATAACCGTAAATTTATAATGACTGTATCTATTACAAAAATTTGTCTTAAGGATATCATGCTTAGAAATCCTTAGTTGATAATATCCAGACCTCAAGTCAATCTTTGAGAATATACTTGCAGCTCTCAGATCAAATAGATTATCAATCATTGGAAGAGGATATTTATTCTTCACCGTGACTTTATTCAGCCCACGGTTGTCAATACACAACCTCAAACTTCCGTCTTTATTTTTCACAAATAAAACTAGAGCTTACATCCAATGTGACATACTTGCATAAATATATCCATTGTCTAACGATTCATGAAATGACAACTTAACCATTGAGAGCTTAATGGTACTCTCTGATGTGGGGTTCTTATCACTCTACCACACCTAAAACATGTCAATCGAACTTTATCACAATGGGTACCTGAATAACTTGTTCCACAACATCGACAAATAACCCCTGATTGTTGAAACCTCTCTTGACTCAGTTCTTTAATCGAAATCTCCTTATACGATGGCTCAGACCTGAATATTTGCCACCATTTCTTTTACCCTTTGATTCATCATCCACCTTAGCTTTTCCCTTATCTCGAAACTGATCTTGATACTCCATTTTCTTCTCATTGTTCTTCTGTCTGACTTCCTGCTTCTTATAGAATCGAGCAGCAAGCTCGTAAGCTTTATACAATGAACTGATATCCAACACAACTAAAGCTTCTTGAATCATTTGCTGCAACCCATCTATAAAATGATCAATTCTATCTCGCTCACAGGAAAAGTAGTCATGAAGATACATCTCCAACTCATTGAACTTTACAAAATAGTCCTCTACTGACATCGAACCCTACTTCAAGTGCAGCAGCTCTAGCTTCTTTACTTTTCGAACATGTGACGGTATAAACCTAGCTTTTAATTTTGCTTTGAACTCATCCCGAGTCATATCCACTTGGTCCACTCCCGCAGCTTCTTCACCTAACTACCACCAATTTGCTCGACCTTCCAAGAAATAGGCCCCAATATTGGCTCATTGATCTGGTGGAATCTGAACAACACGAAATATCTTTTCCAACTTCTCAACCCAGAAATCAAGAACTTTAGGCTCTACGGAACCAGAATATGTTGGCGGGTTATGCCGCATCACAACATCAATAAAACTCCTCTGTTGAGGCATCATCGCAGCCATAAACTGCTGGAAGAAATCCTGACTAGGTGCCTCTATTGATACATGCTCTGGCACAGGATACTGTGACTCATCAGAAGAAGGATCTAGCTCTGGGCCTCAAATAGCCCTACGTAAACCATCACCTCAAGAATTCGACATACTGCCCCCGACTTCCCTGATTCAGTATCAACTAAGCAACACAACTAAACTAGGTGTAACATTAAAGCATAAACCACATTAACATGAATGCACCCACAAAACCCAAACCTCGCCAAACCAATTCAATATCATTATTATTTTTAAAACATTTTTAATCGCAAGAGCCAAAGTCTACCAAACCTATGCTCTGATACCAACTTGTAACACCCCCAGTTGGCTCATACTGGAAATGCTACCGCCACACTGCATCATGAGGTCGTCACTTCCTACTTTGGGCCCCATAGTACCGTGTTATGGCTAAAATTAACCATAAAAGCACATTATTATATAACAAAATCTTATTTATGAATATCTACAAAATACACTCTTAAACAAGGGTTTTTCCGGTTAAAAATTTACATATAATAAAATAGATGTGCGTTCACTCACTCAGCCCGTCTTTCTATATCCCGAGATGTCCCCTGCCCCGGAGGTGCTATGCATACCTGAACCAAATATTTTTCTTAAAAGCAGTCTAGAATTAAATCCATTTTAAGAACTAACGTGAAATATGTTATTCCATACCTTTTTAAAATAAACTCTAATTTTCGTCAATCATAATATATGTGTCATGTCATGCAAATAGTGAAATAATGCAACAAAGATATCAAAGCCGACAGCAATGCACATGGACATATACATATATACACATCCGCCGAAGTGAGCAGACGGAATAACCTCGGCCCCGTAATAACAAGCTCACTGGACCATCATCAATAAATAGCCGGAAAATCCTCGGCTCAAGGAAGAACCTGATAAAACCATAACAATATAACGGTCATCCGGTCACTTCCATATACCCACCATATGACTCCCACAATCAATACATGGATAGCCGAACGTTGTCGCCATTAACCACAAGACGTACCATAGTCTGTGATAGCGAAGATAGGACCCCCACTGACTAGCCCTATCCTATGTAATGTAGTAGAATCCGTGCAACTTAGAATCACCCAAGGGCAATCTGGAAACTCTACTCCTCCTCGTGCGCCCTAATGGGATCATGTTTGGAGTTTGGCATATAATCCTAAACTAGGGTAGACCTCACCAGTGATCAGTCCAATGAGTAGAACAACACCGAACACGAATGATTAGACCAGATACGTCTCAACTACCATGGGTCTAATCCCTGAATGACCGTTCGACTAAGTCACCCAGTTGTCTGACTACTATCATCCACTATCGCCAAAGTGTTACGGTACATCGGGGTCGAATATCCTAACCCCAGATGATGCCCTTGCCTAGCACTACCGCACACGGCGACTAAACGATAGATCCATACAACATATCCAATAAATCATGCAATATGTGTGCAACATGTCAAATAAGTGAATATACTGAAAAGGGCTGGTGAGGCAGCTCACCTATCCTTCTTTTCATAAATTTACCAACGCGATCAAAAACATATATCAAATATCATAAAATGCGAAGTCTCACACATGCATACACACACATATATATAGATATACATGCACTGACAAAATGATTCACATAATATCACATTAGCATAGTAATCAGAATCGCATGCAACATGCATACCTAATTTCTTAAAATTAGATTTAATTCCTTACTGCTTACCTCTTATCGATACTCCCTAACTTTTGCAATCTCACCCAAATCTCCTTCAACGTACACGTGTCTCGTTATTTACTCAAATCACATGAGCTATATTCTTATTCATATTAGCTACATGAATATTCAAAAGCTAATTTTTATAATTAACTTGTTGGGTTTCAAACTTTTATATTTAGTAGAATACGATATTCTAGCTCTAAAACTCTTATACCTCATAATATTTATATCGTACAATTATTAAATAAAAATAATTAAAGATATGAATAAACAGGCAGATGAAGTATAATTCCGTTTTCAATTCGGCTAGGATCAATACGAAATTCTCAAAATATAACGCTAGGACTACGGATAGGCTATTAGCACAAGAAATTAGTCGATTAAATAACCAAATAGCCAGTTATGAATTTTTGAAGAATTTCTAATTTAATATCTTCAATATCTAAATTCATATTAAAATCCATAATTAAATTCTACGTATAACAAATAATACAATACCAAAATCGAAATCGAACAGCTAAATCTTTTTTTTTTGTTCTCATTTCTTTTTTTGTTCTCCTTTCTTTTCTTTCCTCCCTGACGTTGCTTCTGCTTTTCCTTCGCAAATGGGTTTGCTTGTTTGTTTTCTTTTATATATATATAATTATATTATTATTATTATTATAAACATTATATTCATCATCATCACCTTTAATATTATTATTATATTATTATATATTATATATTATTTTTATTTTTATTGATATTTATCCGTTTAACAGTCTCTATAATTATAACCAATACACAAAATAGAAATAAAATTTATTTTAAAATATTAATTTCTTGATCCTAAAATATTATAAAAATATTTATTTGCTATAATAATATTATTGATGCCGATAAAATAAATGCCTGGGATTAAGAATCTCTAGACACCGTACGATACATAAATAAACTAGGAAAATAAATACTAAAGACTGAAAAAGTAAAATGGCGATCCCCAAAAGAAATTCACTGAATTTGATGTCGATTGAATATGGTTTCTTTAGGTCATGAACAGACCTATTTAAAACCTATGTCAACCGCCACAACCAGGTCGTGCCTTCATATCTACTCGCCGGTTGTAACTTCTCTCAACCGTCTTAGTACTGCTTTTCTTCCAACCGGCACACCTGCTGCTACGTCTCCTCTTGCCCGCCTTCCACTTGTCCGATCCGCTCACCGGTTGTAACTTCCCTTATATGCCTTCTAAGTCAGTTATCAGATCTTGCACTACCAGTTATAACTGACAGAGAAACCTCCTCGTATTTACAACCGTCTGAAAAACTTTCTTTGGTTGCATTTATATTTAGCAACCGTTTGCTCGACCCTAAACTTTGAAAACAACCTTCGCCTTTTTCAGACGGATTATAAATCACTACCCGACTGAGAAATCGTCTGGACCATCCACCGACTTAACCTACCGAATAACCCAACGATTGACCAACCGACCAATCCAGATACTAACTGGTCGCTAGACCAAACGACTAATCAGTCGCCCACTCGAGCGACCACCATTCGTCCAGACGATTTATCGGTCGCCCAATCAAGCGACCACCATCCACTCCCTTCAAACGACTGAACAACCATTCGTCCAGATGATTCATCGATCGCCCTATCAAACGACCACCATCCAGTCCCTTCAATCGGCTGAACAATCATCCATCCAGACGATTTAATCAATCACCCACTCGAACGACCAATTAACAGACCTTTCTTCACCCGACCAATTAACACACTTTTTCTCTTGTCCGACCTCTGTGTCTGCCATCTCATCTTTCTTCCCCCGACTTCCTTTTGTCCGACCTCTGTGTCTGCCCTCTCATCTTTCTTTGCCCAACCTCCTTTTGTCCGAGCTCCGTGTCTGCCATCTCATCTTTCTTCGTCCGACTTCCTCTTTTGACCGACCTCCGTATCGGCCGTCTCATCCTAATCATAGGTTTCTCCCGAAAAAAACCATTTCTTAATAACACTTGGGCTGTTTGGCTTATATTCAGACCCATTTAGGATCCCACTGCCATTAACAGGCCCATTGAACTATACACTAGTCCACAGCCCTAGGCCCATTCTCGAAAACTCTGCACATTGGTTTTTTCTTACTCAACAAATATTATTTTATACACTCTAAAATCGAGGTATTACAGTTTTGGTCAACGAGTAGGCATCCGTCAATGTGATGGCCCTGTCCACACTCTGCAAAATTGGGAATAACCGGGGAAATCTAATCACTACCACCATGCGGACCATGGATTTTACGGGAAATGTGCATTCGGCTGCCGGCGTATTAGTGGCTAATGTGACGGTTGGCAGTCATATCGACCGGATGGCCTTCTTTGTGTTCGAAGGCAAACCAACTTACTCAGCCATCTTAGGGAGGAACTGAATTCACACTACCCAGTGTGTGCCGCCATCCTGCACCAAAAAGTGGTATTTTGGAATGGTAATTGCGTAGACGTAGAAATGATCGAAGCCAAAACTGACCCCGCAATGGAGATCCATGCAGCCAAGGCGGTCTATTATTTGCCTAGCGTGTATCCACTTTCAATGATGTTGAGGGATGTGGATACATGGATAGAATGTAACCTCACAGTGAAAGGGTTCGAAATTCATACAAAGGCCAACTCACGGCCCGTCCACCAAGCCGTTCGTAATGAATGACGACTAGGACATATTAAGGGACCTTGAGGGACGGATTTTCGAGACATATGATGCTATATGGAGTACCAGATCTGTCCCTGTTCGAATCCTTGAAAGGTAGGCAGATCATCCAAATTTGCTACTTCCCTTGGAGGATCGGAATGAAGATGAATTTCCCTCACCTATCTAGAGGGCTACCCCGTCCTTTGAAGCACATGATTCTCTTGAGGAAATCAATATCGGTGACGTTA